CATCGTTCCAACGAACATTCGCAAACAGCATCGCAGAGTTGTGTGGTTTGAACGACAGCTCTCGACCTGTGCTTAGAGGCATTGTTTCTATATTGCATCACATTTGGACTTAATAAATCCTTATCTCGAGCAAAATAAGCACGCTGACATTCAGTACAACCGTGCCTTTAATTTAGAATACATACAAATGGAATTTACGTCTTTTAGTCTGTCAAAAGATTTAAAGTACCAATTTTGAAGCGTGCACATGTGCGAACGTGCTCTACTATGTAAGAACGAGCCAAGTATTGAGTCTGGTAATAAAGCAAAACAACTGAGAACAATTAGAAATAGTCCTCAGATTACATGTTTGTAATTTATATATAAAAAATCTAGCGTTAATTGGATCTCAAACAGTTTCATTAAAAGTAGTTATTACTCCACCACGTGCGAAACCAACGTGGTTGAACGATACTTTGCGACAATGGGTTTCGGGAAACAGTCGTGACAAGCTAATTGATTTCTCTAATGATGCATTGTACTATGGTACCCAGACAGCAAACTGACATTGAATCAACGTAGAAACGACGTCTCTCATGACATTGAAACAACGTTGATTTTGCTCATCGAATTAACGTTTTACGAATTAACGAATTAACCAACGTCAGACGCGGCATTCTTCAAAGCTAAGTGAAAATCGAAAATTGGTTTGCTTTCATAACGTTGAAACAACGCGTTGATTTCAAGTTGATTTTCCGTTTTGAAAGAATGACGCGTCTGACGTTGGTTCAACGTTAATTCGATGAGCAAAACAATGTCAGATCAACGTTGTTTCGATGTCATGTTTCCACGTTGATTCAATGTCAGTTTGCTATCTGGGTAGTGAATCAGCAAACTACGTCGTTGTACGGGCAAAAGTTAATCTATCAACCAGATTGAACAAACGCTCAGGGGTGTGTTTCCCGAAAGCATCGTTAGCCAACTATGGTCGCAAGTTCCGTCGTTATCTGCATAGTTTAACGAGTCGGTGTTTCCCGAAACCATCGTTCCAACGAACATTCGCAAACGGCATCGCAGAGTTGTGTGGTTTGAACGACAGCTCTCGACCTGTAGGTAAGAAACATTGTTTCTATATTGCATCACGGTTGGACGTAATAAATCCTTATCTCGAGCAAAATTAGCACGCTGACATTCAGTACAACCGGTGTCTTTTATTTAGAATACAGACATATGTAATTTACGTCTTTTAGTTTGTCAAAAGTGTTTAAAGAGTGTGCATGTGCGAACGTGCTCTACTATGTTAGAACGAGCCAAATATTGAGTCTGGTAATAAAGCAAACTAACTGAGAACGATTAGAAATAGTCCTCAGATGACATGTCTGTATATATACAAATCTTAAAAACGTTAATTGGGTCTCAAACAGTTTCATTAAAAGTTGTTGTTATTACTATAAAGTGGTTGAACATGGTTGAACGATACTTTACGGAAACAGTCGTGACTAGCTAGTTGATTTCTCCAACGATGCATTCCACAACGAGCGAACTACATAGTTGTGTGGGAAACGCACCCCAGGTTGGTTGTAGCGCTATCCTATTGTGTGCAGAGGGAATTTTAAAGACAACGGTTTATCCACCCCTCGGATTGAGCCCTGCTAATGTGAGTTCCCAGACCCATTGATGTTCCTGTGTGATGTTATAGTGAAGCAGTGAGTTACGGCTACGGGGAAACTCAGAATTAATGTACTGAAGGCAATTGTTAAAATATAAAATATAAGCCTATTTACTCTTATTTTTCTCTGAAATAAACAATAACAACAATAATTCTCAAGTAATCTGAAAGGAACAGCAGATGCTGAGGTCGTTCGGTTTAAATCAATGCTCTTCACTGCTGGATACGGATCATCATGCAGTTCATTTTAATAAATGTTTCTATAATCGCCATGTTATTTTTGTTTGATGTGACCCTATGACAACATCTAAAAATATATGCATATCACATTCAATAAGCAAGCTTCTAGATTTTGATGTTCATGCTGTTAAAACTGAATGCACTTGTACTGCTCTTTTCCTGTTTTAAATTTCCAATTGGCTTCCATTACCATGTGCTTGATATAATCGTACAACTGTGAATCGTTATGCATCGTCAGGCATCAATAATTACTGGTAAACAACAATTCAAGCCACACTTGAAAAGTCCTTTTATTTTAGAACTGATTAGAATTGGTTTATGAATTGCCAGTCATCCACTGATCTTTATTCTTTCTGATGTGCTTTATTAACACAGTCTGATCCCAAGACGTCATACAACTGACGTCTTGGGACGTCTTTTGACCATACGTCAACATCCGCCTTTTTAGGGTACCCTTAAACGTCGGTTACATGACGATCCCGGGCCGTCATACAACTGACGCTTTACCTTTAACGTCAGTTAGGTGACGGGGTAGGTTTAGGTCTGGGGTAGGATCCGATAACGTCATCTAACCAACGTTTAAGGGTACCCTAAAAAGGCGGATTGACGTATGGTCAAAAGACGTCCCAAGACGTCCGTTATTTATACTGTTCACCATCATGTTAACCAGAGAAATCTTTCAAAATAGAAAATATGCTCTTCTCTTGATGTCACAGTAAAGGCACTTTAATCCCTCAATGATGGATTCATTATTCTTATATATTTATTAAAATATTTTCTGCTTAACATTATTATTAAAGACTCCATGACATCAAAACTGACGTTGACTTACTGTGAGTTTATATCTTGCAATTCTGAACTTATTTCTCACAATTCGCAATTGCGGGTTTATAGTCACAATTACCTTTTTTTTCTGTAGTGGAAACAAGCTTCCATTGGTTAAAAAAATTGTTTTATCAAACCCTGAATGATTAGAATTGAAAATCTGTAAGATAACATTGTCCTAAAATGACACCTCGTTTTTGTGGATCAGAACTAAAACTTTGAAGTGTGACATGCATCTTAACATCCAGTAACAATTATTTAAAAACACAATCTTGTAATCTCTCATTTGTTAAAAGTAGTAATCCTCAACAGTATCAGCTTAGTCAAAATCTGTTGTTATTCAAAGCCAAAGTAAAGTGTTAGAAATGCACAATTTGTTGAGGCAAACCTAGATTTATAATGTGCATTGTTCATAAAATAGAGGTAAGTTACAAAATAAGTTGTTCCTATAAACAATAAGTTGTTCCTCATTCTGTATCATTTTTTGACATGTACTGCCCTCTTGTGTCCTAAACATCTTTCTGCAGGATCATACTTATTGTATAGGTAGTTATATTTTTTCATGTTCTTCATTTTTATTACAATATTTATTTAGCTCATTCATTTTACTACAACCACTTAATCGTATGTATTCATGTTTTATTTTCAGGTACTGATATTGTTTAATCATCATACTCTTTATATTAGGCCTATAGCTTCTTTGTACTGCATTGTCCATTGTGTACATTAAGCTATATAGTATTGCATATTAGTTGCATTCAATGTACTGTAACTGTATATCAGGTTTATAAAAAAAAATATGTTATTTGAACCTTGAATAGCATCTTTTACACAGATAGATAGATAGATAGATCGATAGATAGATAGATCGATAGATAGATAGATAGATAGATAGATAGATAGATAGATAGATAGATAGATAGATAGATAGATAGATAGATAGATGCATAGATAAATAAAAGCTGTATGAATTTCTATCTTCTGCTGAACACAAAAGAAGATATTTTGAAGAATTTCGGTAACAAACAGTTAATGGACCACATTGACTTCTATAGTAGAAAAAAATACTATGGAAGTCAATGGGGTCCATCAAGTTTCTGGTTCCAATTTTATTATCTCTACACTGGTTACCTATTAAGTTATGTATCAATTACAAAGTATTGCTACTGACCTATAAGGCCCTAAATGGTTTAGCTCCTGTGCATCTAACTAATCTTCTATCACCTTACAATCCATCACGCTCTTTAAGGTCACAAAACTCTGGGCTTTTCTAAGTACCTATAATTTCTAAGTCCACTAAAGGAGGCAGAGTGTTTTCACATTTGGTTCCTAAATAGCCTTCCTGACAATGTTCTGTGCTCAGACTCACTCTCCAAGTTTTAATCAAGATTAAAGACACATCTCATAGCCTAGCATTCATATAATGCAACTCCTAACCTTATATAGTAACATAAGATCAAATGCACATGGTTGTCTTTGAATAATATTATGAAAAGCAGCTACACTAATTATTTTCTATTTGCTTCTCTGTTTTATCCTAAGGTAACTAGAGAGTATGTCAGCTCCAGTTTGGATCACAGATGCCCAACACCTGTGAAGAGACCAACTCCTCTGAAGGAGTTCGCAAACTATGAATGCAAACTATGAATCAACATGCACCAATGCTATATTTTCTAAATGTTTTAATCCATTTTTTGACAAACAAGGATTCATTACTTCAATGAGCTCATTCAATTATTACATTCTTCTAATTAATTTCATTTTCAGCTAAATGTGATTTTTGTAGATGTACATTTCTGAAATTGACAACTTAGACAGTTTACTCTGATAACAGATCACTCTAAATTGTAATGTGGACTCAAACACTTTCTGTAAAGCTGCTTTGAAATTATGCGTATTGTGAAAAGCGCTATACAAATAAACCTCAATTAAAGTGAATTTTAAAATAATTCAAGGCATGCACATGCATTAATTCATTCAATTATTAAAAAACCAGTGCACTCAAGCAATCCTTTTTATCAGACAAATCCATTTCAAAATCTTAAATTCAACACTTTAGATTCGGGTCCAATTCTCACAATTAAATAACTACTAACTAGGACTTTTGAAAAATAAACTGTATGTGCAATGAACGCTGAAACCAGAAACTCACTGTAGCTAAAACCAATGTGTAAAGTAAGCTGTGCAAGTAGACTTAGTCCATTATTGCAACATTTTATCTCACAATTCTGAGGGGAAAATTGCAAAATTGTTATTTTATATCTTGTGATTCAGACTTGGACTTGGAACAATTATAATCTCTTCGTTTGAGGGGGCAAAAGTCCAAATTTAGTTGTGAGATAAAAAGTTGTAATTATCTTTTCTCTTTTATTCCATGGCAGAAACAAAGAACAGCCATGCTAGTAATGAAATATAACCTATAACTATTCACATTTACCAAATATAACACATATTTGAAACAGTGTTTATCAATTTTTATTGCGTTGCTCCAAGTACTTCAATTGTGAATTCATAACTGATAGATGAATGCTACGTTATTAGAAAACGGTAAGTTTGTATATCGGTATACAGTAGCAGTAGTGCTGTGCTGTTGTGACAGTTTTTGTTGCACCAGACTGTGATATCTCTATATTTGGACAATGTCTAAATGAGAAACAGGAAGTGCTTCAAATAAAGACAGAAAAATGCTGAACATTGTAGATTCCCTTAACACTCTTTCCACTGCGTTGACATTTCTGGATGGACAGATAAATGGCATTCAGTATCTCTGGTGAAAAACACATTTGACCACATCCTCTCTCTAAATGATGTGTTTTTTTGTTTGTTTGTTTTTTGCAAATGAAGAAAGTGAAGAAACAAGAAATGTCTTATTTTTAGAAGACGCTGAATAGGAGATATTGTTGGTGTATTCACAACTCTTTCTTTCAAACAGATCCCAACTCTGCATGTGTTTAATGAACGAGTTTGTTGAACATGATGGATCCAATCCTGTTATTTTCCGGACTTTGCAACACTTTGAATGGCTTTGATCCAATCCTTGCGCTCATCCACTGTAGCCGCCTGAAGATAGTAGTGCGTCTCATCCGAAGTGATGATCTCAAAGAGATTCCCATCAGCCTCTTGTTTCTTGCCTGCAGGAGATTGTAAGAGAGAAACATTTGCATGCATTCTATAATGTAAAAATGCTTTACAATTTAAATGTGTTCTTGTCATCATGTTTTGTTTGATCATTTAGATGGACTAATCATCATACCATCAGGAACATATTCCACCGCTGTCACTACTGAGCCACGCAGGTGAATAGAGCCGAGTGGATCATCTTCACCCTTAGAGAGACAAACACACCAGACCATTTCAATACTATATATATTAGGGCTGGGTAATAAATATCGATTTCTCGATATTAATCGATTCTCATTTTTACGAACCGATATCGATTCTTAAGTCTCAAGAATCGATTATTCATCCTGTTTCATTTGAATGAATGGGATGTTGTATCGCGGGTGCGCGCATCAAAAAAAAAATCGCAATAATCTTTGTCCTTTGTTGTTACTATTGATATGAAGCAAAGTCTCAATTTTCAAATTACGTCCATTTTCTTTAGAAATTCAAAAACATAAATAGGGTTTTGGCGCTGTGGCGTGAGATCACTCTGGAGTTCAGCAGCGCTGATCTCTCTTCCGGGTTAATAATACCAGTTACAGCGCCAAATAAACATGAATGAGCGTCTGAAAGTGTGTTAAAGATAGAGTACAACTTATCGAAATTCGTATCATGTCACACTGATTCGCTCAATCAGCGTTTCAACCGTGGAAAGACGTCAGTTAAACAGCTTGTAATCAATGTCATGTATCGTCATATTTACCTCAGAAAACCCACATCAACTCGTTAGTCAGCTAGGAAAAAATAACTACAGAGAGGAGCATTTTGCAAAATATATAGCCACCATTTAAATGTTTATATTTCATATAATCTTTCTTATTATAAAAATAAATAAAAGTGTAATTTAAGTGATTCATTCATTATTACCTTCATATTTGAATAAATCTGGCAAGTTTTTTTTTTATGACAGCCACCATTTAAATGTTTATATTTCATATAATCTTCTTATTATAAAAAGTAAAAGTGTAATTTAAGTGATTCATTCATTATTACCTTCATATAGGCGAATGAAGCCTATTAGGCTACAACTAGACTCCTATAGTTTACAGCATTAGTTAAGAGATTTGATTCCCTTGAGAAAAAAATGCCATTTATTGTAACTGATATCCAAAATAATCGATATTGAATCGAATCGTAATCGAAATAGAATCGAATTGCAAGCTTGTGAATCGAAATCGAATCGAATTGTGAAATTTGTCTCAATACCCAGCCCTAATATATATATATATATATATATATATATATATATATATATTTGAAGAGGACAGGAACATGCTTACCTTGGTGGGATCATAGTAGTGGATATAAGCAGGATCATCTCTAAGGATAAACTTTCTGACTTTCCAGTTTTTTCGCCGATGACCCTGTATAAGAAATAAAGGTTAAAATGTCTTATAAATACTTTAAATACTTGTTATAGTGTTAACAAAACAGACTTTGTTGAAAGTGTTATCTACTTTCATACATTTTTCTTTTCATTTTGGGGGTGAACTATATTAATGACAGGTGTCTGTTCAACAGTTCAATCTCTAATCCTTTTTGCAAACCCTTTTTTTCCTTTGATACTGAATGCTATTCTAGTGCATTTCTATCACGACAACTCTCAGAAGAGTTTAGCATGGTAATGATATGACAATTGGTCTTGGACAGGGGTGTGTTTCCCAATAGCATCGTTAGCCAACTATGGTCGCAAGTTCTGTCGTTATCAGCAGTTTCACGAAACCATCGTTCAAACTAACATTCACAAACATCAACGCAAAGATGTATGTGTGTAGTGACAGCTCTCAATCTGCAGTTAGAAGTAGAGTTTCTTGTTTTCCTGACATGTGGACTCAAATCCTTATTTTGAACAAAATAAGCAAGCTGACATTAAAAAAAAAAAAAGATTTGTTCATTTTGATGAACGAGTTTGAACAGGAGAGTCACGAACGCGCATCACAGAACAGAGCAAGGCGAGCATTTGAGCTTATAAAACTTAAACTTAGTTATTTATTTATTAAATAACCGATCGTTTCGCTTGATAAGACCCTTATTCATCGTCTGGTGTCGTTTAAAGCCCTTTGAACAGTTTGCACTGAAACTCTCATTTGGACCTTGAGCCGTTTGGTCCCCATTGAAGTCCATTATATGGAGAAAATCCTGGAATGTTTTCATCAAAATCCTTCATTTCTTTTCGACTGAAGAAAGAATGACACGGACATCTTGGATGACATGGGGGTGAGTAAATTATCAGCAGAAGTTTTTTTTAAAGTGAACTACTCCTTTAATCTTTGTTTATGTTAGTTCACAATGCATTAACTAATGCTAACAAGATGTATTAGTAAATGCTGAAATTAACATTAACAAAGATTAATTAATGCTGTATACATGCAGTTCATTATTAGTTCATAGCTTACCTGTTTGAGCAGACAGCCCTGTTTGACTATGGCACCTCTGAACTCCTCCTTCAGGATCACATCTTCATCACTGGAGTAGCCCTCACAGAAGAAACCACTGTCCGCCTGCAAATCAACAAACACTGAAAGTGTCAACAACAGCTTTCGGTTCACACGCACACACTGTATTTTTTCACACACAGCCACTTCCTTGTTTTCAGTACATGCTTTATAAATGTCACCGAGATGTATGACATGTGGCCAATACTGTATGATATGGCTCTATTCTAAACTCTACAGCGACATAAGGGATCAAATTTGATATTTTCTACTTAGCAACCACGCGCTCCCAAGTTTGGTTTCTCACCATTGCTGATTTCTAACACACACTCACAGTGTCTGGCCTGGTAGAAACGAAAGCTGATTCTCTCTGTGTGTTTTTCTGTCGTCTGTTTGTGTTCATATGTTAATTGCATGAGCTTATTTTGTCCATTAGATTGATCGATCTGAAAAAGCCCTTACATTTCCCCGCCCATAGACCCTCCCCTCGAAGAAATCAGGAAATGGTTAAAGTGGACTTAAGAGACACCAGGTGTAAACGGGAGTGTGTCCTCTATCAGTGTTGGGAGTAACGCATTACAAAAGTAATACATTACAGTAACATATTACTTTTTGCTGTAACACAGTAGTGTAAGGCATTACTAATCAATTTTCAGTAATATTTTACTCGTTACATGTTCAGTGAGGCTTGTATTACAGTTGTATTACAGTGTATTGTCTGCTTTTACTTCTTAAAGGCAACAGACTATGTGAAAGTTTTAAAGCAGTCTTTTAGTGCCGGTTCAGAGCGGTCGCGTCTGTAACATTGTTTTTTCCTCATAAATGCGAACACGAAAACTAAAATAAAATGAATATTTTAAGTTCTATGGAGACTGGAGAGCCAACCCTTCCTCATCCAATTTGCGCAGTGTAATTAACAGAATTACAAAAAATCGATTTTGCCTAATATTAAAAATAAAACATAGACTGATATTTGTTTAATGTCTGGAGTCCTTTAAGGAAGTAGCCTATTTTCAATACATGTATTTTCTGAGAATTTTTATTTCAAGTTTTGACTGCAAATGTCATCATGTCCATAATGCTGGACTTCCCCAATTTTAAATAATTTATCCTCAACTAGTTTTGTGGTGTAGGTCTACGTATTTTATAATGTTAACTTCAAATAATACTAATAGCCTAATTTAAAGATAAGGCAGCATTGGATCTGGACGGTAAGGAGAATAACGCTGGAGTTGGAAGAGGTTTGTCGCGATTCTGTAGGTTCGTGGATCTGAGTCGTGTGGCGAATGGCGATTTCGGTTTCATATTGCATATCGTTAAAGCCCCAAAGTTAAGTTCTACTTAGTTATTTTGGTGAAAGTAACTCAAAAGTAATACATGAGTAATGTAACGCATTACAATTCTGAGACAGTAATATTGTAAGGTAATGAATTACTTTTAAATAACAGTAACAAGTAATACCTAATGTATTACAGTTTGGAAGTAACTTGCACAACACTGGTCTCTATGGAAGCTTGTTTCTGCCACAGAATAAAACATTTTAAAAGATAATTGCACCTTTTTATCTCACAATTGTGAGTTTACGTCTTTGCAAAACAGGCCCTTTGCCCTTTTACAAAGTCTTGATGTTGTTTTTGGTCGATTATTCTCCTCATATTCTCCATTGTTGCGGCTCCTCTCTTCCCAGTCTGTCAGTAACGCTCTGTTTACTTCCCGTCTCTTTTAAGCCCCTCCTTCTGAAAAGCACACCGTGCTCTGATTGGTCGGCTGGAGCAGTGTGTTGTGATTGGTTGTGCGCTTCGAGTGTGTTTGGGAAATGTCCCACCCCTTCCCATAACCGGGCCCCGCCCCTTTATTCTGCGCATTAATTATTATAATGAGGAATATTGTGACGTGTTCGTGACTCAAGATTACAATGGAGGCGTTTCAGGAGTTCAGAAACACTGACACTGATATAGAGGAGAACTGGAGTGTTTTGACTTTTTAAAACAGTGGAATATGTAAAAAAGCTTAATAGGTGCTCTTTAAATGTTCTGCCCCACTGTTTTCTTTCTTTCTGACGAATCACTTGGAATAGAGACAATAATAAGTAGTGATTTGTAAGCTTACAAAATAATAAAGAGCCTCCGTTTGGTCCAAGAAAACACACTCCGCTCCTTTCTCCGCCCCGTCTTTGGACACGTCCCCCGCGGCCTGCAAGAAGCCCTCGTTGAGGAGCCCGGTGGCCAACATCAGTCCCTCGGCCCGGTTCCTGGCCTTCCCCGCGGAGATCAGCCAGTCGATCGCTGTGTTCCCTGCAACAACATCCACCACAACACACTTACAGGCCAACCAATCGTGCTAACACTTTACAACAAGGTTCATTAGTTAATGTATTAACTAACCATGAGCAATACACTTGTTACAGTATTTTTAATGTTAGTTAATAAAAATCCAGCTGTTCATTGTTTGTTCGTGTTCGATCACGCAGTGCATTAACTAATGTTAACAAATACACCCTTTGATTTTGATCATGTATTAGTAAATGCTGAAATTAATATTAACTGAGTATTGTTCATTCTTATATGTTCACTAATGTTAACTAATGAACTTTTTTTGTAAATTGTTACCCAAATCTTGCAGCAAGAACGATTACAGAGATTAAATGGAGATATTAATTATCAATTTAGCTGCACTCTAAATAAAAATGCAGATTGTTTTTTTTGGGTCATATGCAGACAAACCCAAAAAAGTCACATTTAAAAAAAAATAATAATAATTTGAAAATGTAACCCAATGGCTGGGTTTGTCCATATTTGACTCAAATTTTGGGTTGAAACAAGCCAGCATTTGTTAGAATATAAGAGGTTTTGCCTATTTTATTATGTTATGAAATATATATCTCACCCATGAAACAGTGATTAAACAGCCTTTTGTCCTTCTCTAGCTTCATCTCTTTAACGCCGTTGTCTTGATCTTTCATTAAAACATACAGTTCACTGAGGACAGACAGAACGACAGCAATGATTAACCGTTTTACAGTTCGCAACAGGGACTTTCAAACTTTATTCATCACATTACTCAACTGTCTAATTTGACTGACGGTTACACAATTTTGATTTGCTGTTTTCACTTGAAACCTTTGTGGACATACTGGCAAGCTTGACTAAAAATTATTTCGGTTGTTTTTAAAAACATTAAAGTCCCCCAATTCTTTTATTTGTGGAACACTGCAGTAGATATTCAACATAATTTATTGGTGCAAATCTTTATTGTTTTAAATCGATGTTCCTGGTAATGTTGAATCAGAATAAGTTCCTCTTCAGCATCTCTTCTCTTTTTTTGATGATGTGGGCGGGGCAACCTGTCACTCACATGAGATCAGCCAATAGCAAACCACAACCATCCAATCAGCCAATCAACTCCTCACAGACACAATCAAGCCACGCCCACATATAATTCTTGTTTCAGAAGCGTTTCACTTGGAGATATGACAAAATGGAGAAAAAGACTAGAGCAACTTATTTTTTATGCCGACTATAAAAGCCCCCTCGTAGTCAATAATTTAACCCCTTAAAAACTCATCTTTGATCACCAAAATTACATATTTAAACGTTTTATACTTGAAAACAATTATTCATGCCTTAAAATAGCTTGAATGTAACTCGACGCGCTTCCCTCGTTTAGTATGCGCGGTTCAATGAATATGTAAATGAGCCCCGCCCCCACTCACTCACTCAGAGATCCACTGGTTGACGATCACACGTTGATCTGATTGGTTACAAGGTCGTTTGTGACGTCAGAAACACCAGCGATTTCAAACCGTGTTTTTGGTTCACTGCAGTTTTAAGGAGGAAATACTCAGCAATGCTGTCCACTTATGAATTTACACATGGTTTGTGTTAAAGCATATTAAAAACACCACATAGACACAAAAACAACATTAAAAGCTTGAGTTTCACCACAGGGGGACTTTAATGTCTGAATTAAATTAAAGATTGACTAACAATCTTTTTTGATTTATCTCTTTATTTATCTAGTTGGTCCAAAACTATGATTTTGTTTATTTAGTGCAGTTTTATAACAGAAATCATACCTCAGGTTAACATTTTCTGGTAATCGAATGGATCGGCGCGTTGACTTCCTGGCAAATTTCTTGCCCCCCTTTAAACAAGTGATCGCTCTCTTGATGTCTTTGACCCACAGCTCGCGTTCCTCCAGATGCGTCGCTTGGAAGAAATGGTCCTGGTTCTTATGAGAACTGATCTTAAACACAAGCTGTTGGAAAGCATACGCTGATATTAATGATACGGTAACACTTTACAATATGGTTCATTAGTCAACTACCTCATAAATTAAGAATTAACAATACTCAGCGTTTATTAATCTTAGCTAGTATTAATTTCAACATTTACTAATGCATTATCAAAATCAAGTTGTATCTGTAAACATTAGTTAATGCACCGTGAACTAACAAACATTAATAAAACACTGTAACAAATGTATTGCTCATTGTTAGTTAAAGGGATCGTTCACTTTGAAATGAATTTTTAGTATGCATCCAAGATGTAGTTTTGTACTTTGTTTTCACAGTATTTTCAATTTTGATATCAAACTGTTGTTGTCTGTCAGTCATATAATGGTGGTCTATGGTCACCACCTCAAAGAGCAGCACAGAGAAGTCCAGATTAAACATGATTTAATGACTCGTAAATGTAAGAACACATTGATGGCCTAAGACACGAAACGAGCGGTTTGTGTGAGAAAACGAACAGTATTTATATCGTTTTTACCTCTTGTAAACACAGCCACATCCAACTTATCTGAGGACACGGGCGCTTCGGTCTGCACAAGCGCCGGAAGTGATCTCTCGTGCGTCTTTTAGGATGTTAAAACCATATTTTACAACAGTTTAAACATCCTGCATAAGCGCAAATTAGTACCATTTTAAGTAGCCGTGCGAACAATCTTTGTTCTGTGTAAACAACGTACACGGGCGAGAGATCACTTCAGGCGCTTGTGCAGACCGAAACGCCTGTGCCTTCAGATCACTTGGACGTGGCTGTGGTTACAAGAGGTAAAAACGATATAAATACTGTTCGTTTTCTCACACAAACCGCTCGTTTTGTGTCTTAGTCCATCAATGTGTACTTACATTTACGAGTCATTAAATTTAATCTGGACTTCTCTGTGCATGCTTTTTGAGGTGGTGACCATAGACCTCCATTATATGACTGACAGACAAGAACGGTTTGACCTAAAAATGTCAAAATTGAAAATACTGCGGAAACAAAGACACCTACATCTTGGATGCCCTTGAGCTATGATAAAACATATCAAAAATTAATTTCAAAGTGAACTATCCCTTTAATACATAATGTTAACTAATGAACCTTGTTGTTGCCAATGACACAATCAAGATATGTCCAACACAATGATCTTTCATTAAAAAGTGCGTATCTATAGCACAAATTTTATTTCTCTTGCCATTTATACGCCAAAAATATCATTTTCACGACGCAAAAACCGTATAAATGGCCAGAGGTATATTGGTTTTAAAGAAGTGATTCCTCCACCGGTCTTTTAGTGAAGTCCTGGCATGGGCTGGTCAGTGTCGCTCCCTTCAGAGGGATCATTCCCTTCGGACTTCTGTCGGTCTTCTTCTTGTAAAACTCTACGCCATCGTCTGCTAACACCACCCACACCACTTTCCATGAGTTCAGCACTGTGCCCTGCAGACAACAACACTTTAGCTTGTTAAAACCACCAAAGAGAAAGATCTTTAAAGTAAACAAACCGTTTCACATGAAGGAATTATAGGCTATAATTTAGCGAAGTGCAAGCATTCAATTCCTGTCATTTTCAGTTCTGTATTTCAACACACACATATGTTGTGGTCAGACCTCTACTATACTTTCGGTTGCCAGACCCATTTATATTACAGTTTTTCACACAGAAACAGGAAAATGTCCACATCGAACACTTGAAGGTCAAAAATGAACATTTAAAATGTGTTAAATGCTGCATCGATTGGGTTTTATTTTTTAGAAAGAAAGAGGATGTTTCCACTTCTGTTCCCAAATTGGAGCAACTTCATAACTTCATGGGAAACGAATAACAAAGCATCATCACATGACACGGCGTTTTGTGGTACGTCTCAGTTCTTGTCAGTAAAATTCTTGCTTTCCAGTGATATTGACACGTATTACAACTCCAGTCTTACCTTTTTCACCAAGTATCCTTCTCTGATTCTCGTTGGCTCCATCTCTGTCCACTAAGCTCGACTGGGTTGTCTTCTTCAGGGAGTGGTGTGTGTGTGAGACGCTTCAGCAGATTCTGTGCCTGTGACGCGCCGCCGCCTCGCTTGGCAGTTATAGACATTTTTTGATGAAAGGGAAGTTGCACATGTCTGACTTGGTCAGATTAGTTTCCTTTGTGTTCTCAGCCCACATAGTAAATGAGTCAAAGACCAAAGATTATCAACCCTGATGAGTGATGATGAGTGAACGCTTGACAAAAAGTCATGCTTTTTTTTACTTGTAATGTCCATTCTGGTCCTTGAAGTGGATCAAAACCTTTCAACAAAGTTATACATGAATTTTGAACAACACCCGTTCTCATCTTAGGCCAACTTTGATCAACTTTTCTGATCCTCTTACTGTATATAAACAAACATATCATTTTTATCTCTCGTGGAACAAACAAATATCTGAAAAACCGTCATCTAGAACATTTAAATCACTTCTCAGAAATTGGTTGCTGATAAGAAGGTCGTTCACTGAACCAATTTTGTTGCACTGAAACAGGAAGTTGAATGAAGGGAGTTTAAGGTGTTACAAAAGAGCTACATTACGTTCTTGTGGTCGCTGGAGAAAGATCCGCCTTCGTCGTGTTCGAAGAGACATCCCAACAAACACACACTTGAGAATTTGAAATATTATCCACTCGTGTACTGCTTAAATCACACAGCTTACGAACTCTGTGATTGTTAAAATAAAATTTTTTAAAAAACTTTAAAAAAAAAAAGTCAACCACACGAAAGGTGTTTTCACAAGTGGTTTTGAAAGGAAGCGAGAGTATTGTTTATGATGTTATGGTATCTGACTTTTTAAGCTTGATCGTATTAGCTGATCTGATGGCTGATAAACACAACGACTGTACGTTTACAAAGACAAACACAAAAACTACTACTGTGGTACTATTATATACTGTATCAGACAATACCATTGTACTTGGTATTAACTAATAATATGTGTTAATTTCATGAATGATTATCAATTGAAATAATGCATAGCATTTTGATTTTGAGTGTGTTTAGTGAAAAGTTAAATAACTTGAATTGAAAATAGAATAGTTTTGATATAGTTAGTATTGATTTTTAGCCATATAAGATCATATGCTTAACATGTCATTTACATACTTGGTGTGTAAAAACAGTATCCTTGTTGATCTTGGAACAACACTCTAATTTGCCAATCAGATTTGAGAATTAAGTTTACAGTTAATGTCAGAGGTAAGATTTTTTTTTTTTTTACAACATTCTTAGCCAATTATTGTTTTCCTCTGATATTAGGGAGAGGTAATGGGTGTAGGGTTGGGTTTGGTTGTAGTTGTAGTCTGACTAAAGTGCCTTAAAGGAGTAGATGACACCCCCATGTCATCCAAGATGTCCATGTCTTTCTTTCTTCATTCTTTCTGACCATTTGAGCTTATAAAACTTAAACTTTATTTATTCATTTTTTTTTAATGAGCAATCTTTTCGCTTGATAAGACCCTTATTCATCGTCTGGTGTCGTTTAAAGCCCTTTGAACAGTTTGCACTGAAACTGTCTTTTGGACCTTGAATCGTTTGGTTCCCATTGAAGTCCATTATATGGAGAAAATCCTGGAATGTTTTCATCAAAAACCTTCATTTCTTTTCGACTGAAGAAAGAATGACATGGACATCTTGGATGACATGGGGGTGAGTAAATCATCAGCAAAAGTTTTTTTAAAAGTGAACTACTCCTTTAAAACGAGTTGCATTATTACGAATTTGCACTGTAACAGGAAGGGGCGGGACATATCAATCAGCTCCTCCCCTTTTTAAAAATAGCCAATCTAATCTCCTCCATTTCTCATTATAATACAGGAGTCTGTTCAGAGCTCAAACGGTCCGATATGTGTTCTGTTCTGTTCTCGATCACATGATCCACTCTGTCTCTGGACCGAAGCGGTGGTTCATGCGACACTAACGTCAAACCAGACTTCATTCGCCACAAAGCATTTTAGCCTACACTATCTGAATCGTCCCCTATCCCCAATAGTGCACTATGCCATTCACCATGTAGAAAACATATTATGTTTGAATAAGTGACCAATTTCAGCGGTAGCTTCAGTTAGTTATAATGAAGGGGGCGGAGTTTCGGATTCTAGAGAGCATTTGCAGTGGTGGAATGTAACGAAGTACAAATACTTTGTTACTTTACTTAAGTACATTTTTCACGTATCTTCACTTTACTTAAGTAGAATAAATAGTGCATACTTTTTTACTTTTACTTCGTTACATTTTGCAGCAATTACTTTCTACTCCACTACATTTCTACAACTTCTGTTACATTTTCGTTACATTTTCTGATCAGTTTTTCCCCTGCCAAAAACGTAATCTGACCGTCCGTTCGTTGCACGTTTGTCTCACCAGTGACGTTTCGTTGCCATAGATACATCAACTAAATGCGTCTCGCACGCAGTGTGTTTATCGTGCAATTTATACGCGAAAATTTGTTTTTACGTGCATAGGAAACGTGTGTAATATACGTTTGGTTAGGATTATGGCAAGCCAAGAGGTTCAGAATTACACCATAAATTAATTGCGTTTAAACATAGTTTAACATATAGTAAGGATAAGCATGGTTTATATTGCCTAATTGCAAGCTTGTTTCAGAAATGGTGACATTTTTTTCCATCATTATTGAACATCTTTATAGGAGTATTAGGTTGAATGAGTTAGAATTAAATGTTTTATTAATCATTAGAAAATAGTCATCAAGAGAATCAATTGTTATGCAAGTACTTTTACTTTTAAGACTTAAAGTACATTTAAAACCAGGTACTTTTTACTTAAGTATGGTTGTCATTGTGTTACTTCTACTTTTACTAAAGTAAATATTTATCTGGTTATTTGTACTTTTACTTAAGTACTGAGATTCAGTACTTCCTCCACCACTGAGCATTTGATTGGACAGAAAATCTAATGAGAAGCTGAAGTGCAGAGTGATGTCATCAAAATCATTATTCCATATTGGCGGAAGAGAAAGACAAAGTTTTGAATGCTTACATCTTCTATATGAAATTTTGCCATTGTTTTGGAGCACACTAGCTGATAGATTTAGTAAAGAATATAATTTTCATACTAAAAGCAAAAAAAAAAAAAAAAAAAAAGATTTCATGTGGGCTACTATTTCATTAGGTTGTCATGGTACATGTTCAAAACCAAGACAGTATAGTATTTTATGCTAATACAACACTCACCCATCATCCATCTAGTCTTGATTAATAGACTTGGTGTCCTTGAGCAACACTAGACACTTGTTTTATGATCAATAAACCAAAAGCACGGATGTATCGGTGTAATCTGGGCTACCCCGCTTCCCTCCCTTGATCTCATTAGATCGCACACTTGCTCGGATTATGTTTGTGTAGGGGATTATTGGACAGGAACAGCAGACATGACTTTGGACGTGCTTTCTGCATGCGGTTTCACGAGTTTCCACTCGAGTACTCATCACGGCACACTGATTTACCTCAGCCTCGAATACCCTGACCTGTTTCCTCACACCTGACGGTCTTGGGCATCATGGCAGACATTCCCCAGCTGATTAAAATCGGCGTTTCGCTGAAAACCACCCCGAATAACGGACCCGTGTTCTTCAAATCGGACGGGACGAGATTCGGTCAGAGCAGAACCATCAAATTACTGACGGGAACGAAATACAAGGTCGACGTGGTCGTTAAACCGGGAGCAGTCGAGGCGACGTGAGTATGCCTTTTTGCCAAATTGTAAGTGAATTTATTTTGATTCTATTGTTTGCATAACGATTAGTTCGCATCAACGTTGTCAGAATAGCTCATTTATTTTGTGTAGTGATGCAAAATTACAAATGACCACCATTGATGGATACCATAGTACGTTGACATATATTTTAGACTACAGTGGTATTCAAACGTAGCTATTTCAAAAAATAGGCTACCATGGTATAGTGGGAAAAAAAAATATCTAGAAGCATTATATTGGATGTATATCTGCATATGTGATGCCATGATTGTAGGTTTATCCTACAGGATTGTGTGTTCATCTCATGCACTGACAGATTGCTTCCTTTGGCAGTCAAATCCAGACGATTAAAGCCATCAACTATGTCTGTCTGACTGGCTGCATGTTGTAATGTTTGTATCCTATTCTGTTACACAAATGTCTACAGATATCTAATGTCTGTCAAATCAAAATGATGTTGCAATCTGAATATCTTGAGATTAACAATAAAGCAGTAATAACAATAAATATGAAATAATCATATTTTTTAAATATGATGGTTTCAGTGTAAATAGGGTGAATATCTCTAAGGTGGGCACCAAATTTAATGATGTTTCCCACCTGAATCTAACCATGTCATGTCAACAAATGGAAAAGTCAGCCAGCCGTTTAATATCATGTTCATTATTGTGCCTTTCTTTCACCCCAGCAATACATATATATATAAACAGTAATATATGAAGAGTTCAGATGCAAAAGCCTCTAAATGCCATTTGAAATTGTCTTCTTTAATTATGATTTTTATCAAACTTGTATTTTTAAGTTCAGTAATTTCACTTAAATAACAATTAATAGGTAATTATCATTGCCATTTAAGTGAAATTACTGAACTTAAATATACAAGTTTGATAAAAATCATCATTAAAGAAGAAAATTTCAAATGGCATTTAGAGGCTTTTGCATCTGAACTCTTCATATATTCTAATATGTACATATTCTTATTATTGAAAGAAGTGTTGCTTTAATTAGCTTGAACAAAACTGAAAATCATTAACAAGACCTTTGACTCGAAATATATTCATCCATTTTAGCGATTCTCATTTGCAACTTAAATCTACAAAAGTGACATCTTGAAAAGTGTTTGTCTGTTGTGTCAGTCTCCCTCTCTCACGCCTCATTCCTCAGATCCATGACCGTCGGTGGCGTGACGTTCCCATTGGAGCAACAGTCGAAAGACCCTCAGTCTGTAGTGTACACTGGGATGTATGACACCGAGGGAGTAACACACACCAAAAGTGGAGAAAGGCAACCTGTTCAAGTCAACATACAGGTGAGATTCACATTTGAAAGGTAAGAAGTACACCATTTGAACACATAGCCTATAAAACACATTATAAAAGGTTCTTTATTGGCATCTATGGTTCTATTAAGGAGGAGTAAAAATCCTGATAATTTACTCTCCCCCACGTCATCCAAGATGTTCATGTCTTTCTATCTTCATTGGAAAAGAAATGAAGGTTTTTGAGGAACACACTCCAGGATGTTTCTCCATATAGTGACTTCAATGGGGTCCAATAAATGTTGAAGGTCCAGATGTGAGTTTCTAACACAGTCTCATCCCAAAAAGTCATATAACTGACGTTTTGGGACGTATTTTGACCATACGTCAATATCAGCCTTTTTAGGGCCCCCTTAAACGTCGGTAGATGGCGATCCCGGGCCGTCATACAACTGACGCTTTACCTTTAACGTCAGTTAGGTGACGGGTTAGGTTTAGGGTTAGGTTTAGGTATGGGGTAGAGTTAGGATCCCATAACCTCATCTACCGACGTTTAAGGGGGCCCTAAAAAGGCGAATATTGACGTATGGTCAAAAGACGTCCCAAAACGTCAGTTATATGACGTCTTGGGGTGAGACCGGGTTGGAGTTTCAGTGGACCAGCGGACATTTGTAACAAAATAAAATAAACATTTTTAACCACAAATGCTCATCTTGCATGTCCACGAGTTCATCACGTTGAAAGGTCATGCGTGTTCTGGTTCGGAAATGTAGAGTAGGAAAATCCTCCCACTCGTTGTTTTCCCTTTTATTTTTATTTATTTTTTGGTAAATGCCGTCTTTGCACATTCGCTTTGTAAACACTGGGTCAGTTCTTCCTCCTACGTCCCGCTTGACCTTTCAACCTGATCATGTAATGTGTGTCGCATCACAGCTAGTGCAAGACCAGCATTAGTGGTTAAAAATTATATAAATGTTTTTTTGTTTTATAAAATGTCCACTGGTTCGTCTAGATCAGACTCTTATTCCTCGGCTGGATCATGTCGAGACTTTGAAGCTGCACTGAAACTCACATTTGGACCTCTTTCTTATCACTGCGAAAACACCCTTTGCGAGCTTTGTGTGTAACAGAACAAGAGTTTCAGCTGAAGTGTGTGATGTTTCTGTGCGTGACAGTTCACTCGGGCTGGTCTTTTCGAGACCGTCTGGCAGGTCAAGTTCTACAACTACAATAAGAGGGACCATTGCCAATGGGGGAACAGCTTCAACAGCATCGAGTACGAGTGCAAGCCCAACGACACGCGCACACTCATGTGGATCAACAAAGAGCTGTTTCTGTGAAAGTGTGTGTGTGAAGACAATCTTACGAAGAGCTTGAAACTTCACCACTGTCCTAGAAACAAGATTGAGCGGATAGCCTTTCCTAAGGACGTATTAAAGTAGCGATTGTGATTAAGTAAACGTTTTATTAGATTTGTCTGCTGGAGAATCAGATCACTGTATTTGTCTGTTGTAGTGTTTGTCTTTTTTTGCTGTTCCTTCCAGTCGTCTACCTCTGAAGAACCTCGTAAGGATGAAGTTTACTTTTATAAACGAGTTTACAGATTTTATATAGATTTTATGATATAATTGTTATTATACCGTTTGTTAATGTAGCATTTTCATAGTAAATTTTACTTATATGAATATACCTTCTGTAGTATGTATTTTTATGAGTATTTTGTCACGGTGCATTGTGATATATGTGCAATAATTGTTAGTGGATGTATTTTTCCATATTTTTGCAATTTTCAAAACGGCAATATTCTATCAAATAAAAAACAAAAATGCAATGTGATATAACAATATATTATATAATCGAGTGGTCTTGAACTTTATACTGACACTCATTCCTGTGTATTTTATAGTGGACTTCACAGTGCAGTGGCTGATTTAGCTCAGAATGTCCTCCCTGTTAAATCAGACAAACCTAGTGATTGTGAAATGAATTCATACTTAAAGTTGAAGTATTGCATTTAAAGTACTTTGGTAATGTTTTATATATTGTTTCCCATTTAAATCCAGTTCATATTAAAGTAATAATGTAATTATTTTGCCCACCCTGGTATTATTTTGTACATTCTGTTATTATTTTGCCCACCCTGTAATTATTTTGTACATTTATTATTTTGCCCACCCTGTTATTATTTTGTCCACAGTTATTATTTTGCCAACCCTGTAATTATTTTGTCCACCTTGTTATTATTTTACCTACCCTGTTATTATTTTGCCAACCCTGTTATTATTTTGCCAACCCTGTTATTATTTTGCCCACCCTGTAATTATTTTGTCCACAGTTATTATTTTGTCCACTCTGTTATTATTTTGCCAAACTGTTATTATTTTGTCCACAATTATTATTTTGCCCACCCTGTTATTATTTTGTCCACTCTGTTATTATTTTGCCCACCCTGTTATTATTTTGTCCACTCTGTTATTATTTTGCCCACCCTGTTATTATTTTGTCCACTCTGTTATTATTTTGTCCACTCTGTTATTATTTTGTCCACTCTGTTATTATTTTGTCCACTCATGATTATTTTGCCCACTCTTTTATTATTTTGTCCACTCCATTATCCTTTTGTCGACTGTTATTATTTTGTCCACTCCATTATTATTTGCCCACCGTTATTATTTTGTCCACCCTGTTATTATTTTGCCCACTCCATTATTATTTTGTCCACTCTGTTATTATTTTGCCCACCCTGTTATTATTTTGTCCACTCTGTTATTATTTTGTCCACTCCATTATTTTGTGCACTTTGTTATTATTTTGCCCACTCTGTTCTTATTTTGTCCACTCCATTATTATTTTGTCCACCCTGTTATTATTTTGTCCACTCCATTATTATTTGCCCACCCTGTTATTATTTTGTCCACCCTGTTATTTTGTCCACTCCATTATTATTTGCCCACTCCGTTATTATTTGTCCACCCTGTTATTATTTTGTCTACCCTGTAATTAATTATTTTGTCCACTCTGTTTTTATTTTGCCCACCCAACATTTTTTTAAAAATCAGCAAAAAATATAGATACAAATAAATCATTGACAATGAAAAATTACTAGAGGAGCTCTCAATAGTGCAATATTTTAAAAATAAACAAAAACACTTTTTTTGTGGCATTTGTATCTAAACTGACACATGTAAAATTATGCGTCTGTGAGAGAGTCAATTACAATTCATACACATTTTTTGTTAATATTTTGATAATTTATTAACTGATATGCTCTTAAAGGAACAAACGCATGTGAGTTGTCTAAGATAATGTACACAGTTCCCATAAATTAGAAGGGTGGACATTTTTGATCTTCCATTTAATTTATTTTGATTAATAAAGGGTTACATTTATTTACCTGAGCTTGAACAAAGTCATTTTTCAAACGTTTTACATCACCATATCATGACTACACATTATACAGTTTGATTTTCTACATTTTATGATAGCCAAAAGTGAAATGGAGTCCAGCAGGTGGCGCTGCAGCCTAGTGTTCTTAGAAACATCAAGAGGATTATGTTTTAGTATGTTCATGAAACATGTTAAGACCTTCCCATCTTAAAAGGGGTAAAACCATAAGACCACACTAAGACCTTAGAGTAAGGTGCGGTAAGACAACTTTAAACCATATGGTTAACCTAAACTTTTGAAATCTCAATCAATCAGATTAGCTTTTAACATTTACGTAAAATATCTCACAGATGTGCCAGTGGAAAAGTATGCATATAATATCAGACAAACAGCCACATTTTGTTATAATACTGCTATGATGGCCTTATTGTATGAGAAGTCAGAATTATTACAGTATCGATAAAGTGAAGTCCTCATTCATTTTGAAATTTGATCCTTGAATTTCCAGTCCTGTTTATACAGTTTAAACTGGTGCTACTTTAAGAAAGCACTTTAATATGACGCTATACCAGACAGAATACAGAATAACATGTTCTATAGAGTATATTATAATAATTTACATGTTTTAAAATGATTGCGTTTAACATTTAATTAATATGTGAAGTCAAATCAATAATAATCAATTCAATAGATAATATATCAATAGATATATTAAATCATATATATATATATATATATAGATATATTAAATAGATATATTAAAAAATACATTATCAAATCAATAGATAATATAACTATATATAATATAGCAAAACATCACAAAATTGTGCTTGTGCTAACAGGTAGCTTATATGAAATTATATTTATAAAATAAAAAGCCCTACATTTCTCGCATTGAATATTTGAATGTTTTAGGAGGGACATGAAAATGAACCATCACTGAACTTGCTTAAGCTGGACTGTGATGCTATTTTCTTCTAGAAACAAACTTGGTTGGATTATTTTCCTGTTATTTCTGTAAAGCTGCTTTGAAACACTCAGTATTGTAAAAAGCACAATTTAAATAAATATGACTTGACTTAAATAGGAATGACCCAAACTCCAGTGATTTGTGTGTTCGTCATGCCGGGAAAGTCGTATTTACGAGTTGAACGCACATGAAAAACACCATAAAGTCAAATAAATACGAGTGGGAAGCTCTGGATTTTATTTAAAGGGATAGTTCATCCAAAAATGTTGTCAACATTGACTCACCCCCATGTTGTTCCAAACCTCTACGAGTTTCTTTCTTATTCTTATAAGAAGATATTTTAAAGATGTTGGTAACCAGACAGTTGACGGCACGCATTGACTTCTATTTTTAAGTCAATGGCTATTGATAACTGTTTGATTAACACCATTCTTTAAAATATCATCTTCTGTGTTCCACATAAGAAAGAAATTCATATACGTTTAGAACATCTTGAGGATCAGTAAATGATGACAGCATTTTCCTTGTCAAAACTATCCCCTTTAAAAGGTATTTAGCAGTTTTTGTCAGACTTGTGTCAGTTTTGTCAAAGGTATTTAACTAGTTTTTTAAAACAAAATAAGCTACTCGCTCAGAATTTAATAGCATTATAATATAACAATATAATATGTAACGAAAGTGACTTCATAAATTAAAACATTAAAAAGAACAGCACACCTGATGCACATTCTTTGTTCTTCATTTTCTGGGAGTTTAAAAACCTTACTGTATTTTTGTATAGAATATACCTTACGAATTCAACCATGGTGTTTTATTATAGGCAAGTAAAAGTTTAGTAATCATAGTTTTTTGGCAGATTGTGTACCATTTGTATAACCACACTTTTACAACAAGTCTACCATGGTTAGTGTAGCAAAACCATGATTAATTTGTAGTTACCATGTTTTTTTTTTCTACCAAGGGGGGTAGAACTTTGGTAGTATACAATATAGCCTATAGAATTTACATCTTAACACATCATGGTTAATTTTCGTAAGGGAAGAGAAGGAGCGCCGCCATCTTGCTCCGACGAAAGTGACTTGAATGCATATATGACGTCAAATAAATGACTTCTCAATTCGTAAATACGATCTTCCCAGGAGGACTTGACTTCCACGCATCATTAGTTCGCCTGCATTGTGGAGGGGCTTTCCTTGAAACGCAAATTGTTATATATGTGTGTGTGTAAGTGTGATAGTGCGTTTGTGTGAGGGTGAAGCCTGTTGTTGGTGATGATGGGGCTAAGGTTACCCGGATGTAGTGTACCGAAGGCCCGCCCATCAGCGCTTCTTGACCTCGCCTCTTTCGGCTCGCGTCCAATAGCAGCGCGCCTCCTAGGCTCCTCCCCATCCCCGCCCTGCGGCTCGTGCTCGCGTCGCTACTGCAGTGAAACCCACGGAAACAGACGGAAAATAGGTTACGCTTCTGATGTATCAAAACCAGCATTTTTTTTGACAAAACAACGAGACCAAGAGCAGAATTTTCCTCTTATATTTGTGCTGTCATTTATTGCTGTTCATTTCCGAGGGGGAATTCCGTCGCACAGGCAGCAACATGGTAAGAAACGCATTCGCAGCACTGTAAACAAATAGCAGATATCGGTTTCAAATGCATCCTGAATGTTCAACGTGAGGTCGAGCTGTCCAAACACGAAGATTTACGGGTTTCCTATCGTGCATCTGCCAGATTGTGAATGTGTGTATCCATTGCTGGTCTAATTCATGCAAAGTGGTTGCAAAGCCATTGCAGAACTAAATGCTAACCTGAGTCAGTCAGTGCTGAATGTGCTGTCTTGTGTGATGCTGTTTGGCATTTAACGTTAAAGCCAGAGCTATTAAGCTTGACATTAGTTATTAAGAACATCTCCATTTTCACTATTGTGATAAGTAAGAGAACGGTTATCCAATGCATGCCATAAGGCGCAGACCATTTGTATAGTTCTTTGAATTATGTAGGTGTGCATTGTATAATATACTTGAACGGGTGCAGTAATGGTCATTATTTTGTAGTGAAATGCTTCTTGTCCATATTGCAAAAAATGTTGTGATGGTATCTGATGGTAAAACCACCATGATATTGAATGATTACCATATTCATGTCGGCTACTATTGTATTTGCATGGTGCTTTAAAGAATACCAATGGTAATACTACAGTATTGTCTAAATGTTCTGTCATCAACACCAATGCAATAATTGTCTGTTCTCTCTGTTTCACTAGAAATTGTATAGTGAAACTTAGCTTTTCAGATTCTCAGTAAACGTCATGATTGACAAATTGCAATGCAAGTCATAAACATGCCATTATAGAAGCAACCTTCTCGCTGAATCATATTTGCTTTAGTTCTTTTGTAAGTTGACAAATATAAAGTGCTATTTCCTGACAAGGCCACTTAGGCTTGGATGAATATTACATATCTTCAGATTTACAGTATATCAATCAGTACAGATGGTGTGCAAGTCCTTGACATCAGATTAGTCAAATTAGAAAAACAAACAAGGTTGTTTGTGAATATTTAAATTTAAGTTTGTTAACTGGAACAAAAAACGTGTTTTGCTCCATGTCCTTCGGGGTTCGGCGTTTTAATAAAACCGTACGCCATCTGTCTTTTTCTGGAAGAGTCTTGAGACAAAGTCAAACTAGTATCATGTCTAACACACTTCTGTCAACTAGAGGTCAAACGGCAACCCTGAAACATTGAGTTTGTGTTGTGACATGTTGGGAAAATAATCTAAATATCAATCTTCATTCAGTGCAATGTGGTCCTGCTGCATATTCAGAGCCTTACACAATAATCCAGACCCTTGACTACAGGTGAAACTCGAAAAACAAGAATATCGTGCATTATATAGACTTATTACATGCAAAGTGAGATATTTCAAGCCTTTATTTGTTATAATTTTGATGATTATGATTTATTTTTAATAACACCAAGAAATTAAACATTAACAACTTATCCTTATTGATATCTAATAAAGTGAACAAATACTGGTTACACTTTATTTTAAGGTGACATAATTGCATTGTATTGTTAATTAAACGTACTTACTAGGGCTGTCAAACGATTAATCGCATCCAAAATAAAAGTTTGTGTTTACATAATATATGTGGGTGCACTGTGTATAATTATTTATATATATAAATACACACACATGCTTGCATATATTTAAGAAATATTTTCACATATATACTGTATATAGATTTATATATAATTTATATTATATAAATATACAAATATATATATATACAAAATAATTATACACAGTGCACCCACATATATTATGTAAACACAAACTTATATTTTGGATGCAGCCCTAGTACTACTTACTATAGACTTATGGTTAGGTTTGGGTTAAAGGTTAGTTACTTTTAATTATGCATCATTTACTGTTATTACTGAAGTAGGTGTAGTAAAGTGTCAATGTCACCTATAGTGTTACCCAAATCCTTTTATTTTCTGCATTACTGAAATCATAGATCCATAGGTTTACTTCAAGCACTTAAGAATTAGTATTAGTATTAATATTAGTATTAGTCTGAACAGGGTTTCAAGCAAGGGCTGATTATCGTAAGGTCTGGTGTATAATGCCGTTTATTCTATCAGGAATCGCCCACCTGAACCGGACCAGCATTTACATATATATTTAATCATTTTTACATGCGTCTGTCTGACCGGTAAAGTGATCCATCACAGTTTATTGTTCCTGTGTGGAGTTTAGATCAATAGGAATGCTAGCGGATAACTTTCTCCAGTCATCTCTCTCCCTCTCTCTCACACACACACACCAGCAGAGGCCTGCTATCTGCTGTTTATGATCATTAGTCATTTATTGTGGGCATCATGACAGAGAAGGAAGAATAATCATATTGGTTATGTCCACTTTATTACTCATGCTTGCAATTTTACTTTTAGTAGAAAATAATAATCTTTAGCCAGTGTTTCGTGAATCTAGTCTACTTTTAGCTTAAAGAATCTGAGAGAATCTTACAGAAATCATCAGTTCAGCTCAAGTTTATTTGTATAGCATTTTTCACAATATGATTTGTTTCAAAGCAGCTCCACAGAAAATGCTTGCAGTTAGAGTGTATCAATGTAAGTGATATACAGATACGATAGGCTATATTAGTTAAATGGCCATCTGATCAGTTATTTAATGTAACCGTGATTACTGCGCTCTTTAAAAAAGGCTCAAGGGGGAGACAAAAGACATAAGCCTTTTTAACACACACAATATTTAAAGTTCGCTTAAATTCCGCCTGTAGTCAACAATTTTATCCCTTGAAATCAGCAAAATGACTTATTTAAAAAAAATCCTTGGGAAAAAATTCTTCATGCCATAAACTAGATTGAAAGTAATTTGACATCCTGTTCTGTTAATATGCAGATGAGCCCCGCCTCCACTCACTCACTCACTCAGAGATCCACTGGTTGACGATCACACATTGATCTGATTGGTTACAAGGTCGTTTGTGACGTCAGAAACACCAGCGATTTCACACCGTGTTTTTGAGACTGTCTTTGGTTCACTGCAGTTTTAAGGAGGAAATACTCATCAATGCTGTCCACTTATCAACTTACACATGGTGTGTGTTAAAGCATTTTAAAAACACCACATACACACATAAACAACATTAAAAGCTGGATTTTCACCATAGGGAGAATTTAAAGGGATAGTTCACTTTGAAATTAATATTTGGTATGTTTCATCTTACCTCAAGGGCATCCAAGATGTAGGTGTCTTTGTTTCCGCAATAGTTTCAATTTTAATATTTTTAGGTCAAACCGTTCGTGTCTGCACAGCCATGCAGCCACACAGCCACGTCCATCCACATCGCTATTCATCTGTGTGTTTTGGACAACAGTGTGTGGCTTGGATGTGGCTGCCCCGCTGGACTTGATTCACCAACTTTTGCTCAGTCCTAAAAAAATCAAGACTTGTAGTCAAGACTGCCTAAACCGAGACCAAGACACTACCAAGACCAGAGGGTATTGAGACCAAGACAGACCGAGACATAGACCAAGATAGACCAAGACGAGACCAAGACAAGACCAAGACAGACCAGGTTCAGACTGAGACCAAGACTGAGACCAAGTTGAGACCGAGACCAGTCTCTGGTCAGTCCTAAAAAAATGTAGACTTGTAGTCAAGACCGCCTAAACTGAGACCAAGACACTACCAAGACAAGAGGGTATCGAGACCAAGACACTACCAAGACAAGAGGGTATCGAGCCCAAGACAGACCGAGACCGAGACAAAGACCAAGATAGACCGAGACGAGACCAAGACAAATCAAGTTCAGACTGAGACCAAGTTGAGACCGAGACCAGTCTCTGGTCAGTCCTAAAAAAATGTAGACTTGTAGTCAAGACCGCCTAAACTGAGACCAAGACACTACCAAGTCCAGAGGGTATCGAGACCAAAGCTGTGTCCCAATGTGAAGGCTGCATCCTCCGAAGTCCGTATTTGAAGGACGGTTGGCCGTATTTGAAGACCGATTGCGTCACAGCCGCGCGACGAAGTACGTCCCAATTCAAAGGCTGCATCCGCGAAGGCCGCATTTAAAGGCCGATTGCGTCATCGCGGTGGGATGAAGGCTGTCCCAATTCAGTTATGCATCCTCCGAAGGCCGTATTCGAAGGCCGGTTGCGTCATTGCAGCGCGACGAAGGCTTACCTAATTCAAAAGCGACGCCAAATGCACACTTCATTTCCCCGTGAAAGGAAGGATACATAAATGGACACTTCGCGGACTATCCTACCCGATCCTACCCCATAAATCATTGCGCGGGTGACGACAGCATTTTTTTTTAAAAAAGGAGTTCAGTGGTGGACGGCAAATTCACATTTAAATGTAAAAGTATTATGTTTTTATTTACTCAAATAGCCAGAGAAACCAGTGTTAAGAGCCAAAAGTTTTTTTTTCTCGTTTTTTTCCTTCTTATTATTCATCTTAACTCATTCGTCAGCATTGCATGGTTTTGTCAAGTGGAAATGCGAAAACGGCTTTTATAGCCTTGTATTGCATTTCTTGTACATTGTATTTCTTTATTATTCATTATTTCATTATTTTATGCAACTTTAAATGTGTACACAAAAGAGAATTCATGGCTCTGGATATTTGTTTATTTTTGTAAGGGTCTGTGAGTGTTTGCAAGGTTGATACATTTAAACTATAATATAGGCTACTTTTGTTTTGTGTCGTTTAATGTAAAATGTGTAGTGTTGTGGTCCTGTGAGGGAAAAAGTAGGCTACTTCACATTTGTACATGAATACTATCGCAGTATGAAGTTCCTTACATTCTCCCACTGGTTATTTTAAAAATTAAAGTAACAAATTGTTGGTCCATTGTCACAATATTAACAAATTGTTGCTAACTTTAACTTCGTCCCATATCAAAGTGCGCACCTGAAGCGCTCGGACCGGTCTAGCCTGCGGAGGATTGTTCTTGTCGCCTAGCAACTGTGACTGACAGCTGACGACGACGAGCGGGAGTACGTTTGCACTGGACTTTTTATATTTGGTTTAAAATATTCAAATAGGATTGACAGCCTGTATAA